AGCTCCAGGAAGGCAGGACAAGAGGTCTCCTCCAGTGCAAGGCCATCTACCCAACACAAGCATCGATGATGACTGATTTCAGCTCCATGTTTTGGAGGAAGCGGTAGTGGAAGGAGATGTCCAGCAACAACGCTTTGAACATCCAAGGTTCCTTCACCCAGCAACCTGAGAGCCACCACAGCGTGCCAGGGGCTTAGGGATGCTAAGGCCAAGGGGAACCGTTGTGATCTCCTTGACTGACCTCTTGCATGAAACAAACTGTGGTCATTTCTTGAATTAATTCCTCTTGGAATGACAGCACATCCTTCTGACAGGCATCCAGCCTTGACTGGGACGGGGGAAGGCAGTGACGGGGAAATCACCGTAGCCTTTGATTTGAGAGGATAATTACGCTCTCCAAATGCATGCCTAGCTGCTAGTCAAAGCCTGCCCAGCTTCAGCTTTCCCCAGACTTCGGGATTTTTTAATAAATTCATTAGCAAAGCCTTTTTTCATCAGTCTTGTGCTGTGTTATGGGCTTGCGGACTGATCTGATAACCTCCAAGCCTGCTCCTTGCTAAGCTAGTAAGACCAAGCTCCCGACTTCTTGGTGTTGTGCTCCAAGTCCTGCCTTCCAGCCTTTTAATAACTCCCACGCTGCTTCTTGCCTCCTCTCTCTGGGTTTAGGAGGGCCAGGTTTCATCCACCCTTCTGGGTGGGAAGGCGGAAAACTTCATTTCTGCCAGATTTAGCCAGTATTTCATTAGTTAATTCATTTTATTTGCCATAATGGTAAACTCTTTGCTATTAATTGCCTTGAATGTGCCCCAATCTCTTGGAGCTGCTGCTTTATTTGTAATTAAGACCCATAGTTTTATATTGAAGACTCTTTTGTTCTTTCCCTCTAAGCATAGAAATCTACCTCTGGTGATGCTGAAAGTGCTCGATGACAGTTTACCCCCCAAATTAATATTTTTCTATGTTAATGGTCTGTTCTCTTTATTATTTTCTTATTATTTATCATTTTTCTCCTATCTCCCCCAAAATAGAGACAGGAACAAGTCATGCATGTGCTCTCTCTGATTAACGGTTTTTAGTAACTAATGGTTTCAAAGACAGGATGGACCAAAGTTAAGGTGAAAATTAGAAGATCTCTAACCAGTAAAAGAGAAGAATTCTGGATTAGGCTTTCATTTGAAATACAGAGGACAAAAGGGAGAAAAAAATCTGGGACTTTGCATAATATGGCATTGGTGACTTCCCTGCCTTCTAGTTGGGTATCACAGATTTTTCCACTAGCCTGATTTTGCTTCAGTGGATGCTGTGTGACTCTTGCTTTGGTTTTACTCTCAGATCCTTTGTGGAAATACAGCTCTCTGTCTTTCTCAATTTATTTAAAACTAAATTTGTCATCTCATAAAAATGCCAGTTAGCCAGGATCTGTTTTCTCTAAATCCGTCTTGATAGACATAAATTGTGTTATTATTCTTTAATTCATTTGTAACAGACTCTTCCATCATCTGTTATCTTGTCTCAGATCGATGCAAAGTTGGGAGGCCAGTATTTGCCTAGGTCATCCATTTACCCATGTGCTAGTCTGGGTACTGAGGTACTTTTCATTTCGTCTCTTCACAGAATCCCAGGGTAGCTGAGGTTGGCAGGGACCCCCCAGGGCAGCCCCTGCTCCCGCAGGGACACCCAGAGCACGGGGCACCCGGGCGCATCCCGGCGCGCTGGCAGATCTGCAGAGCAGGAGCCTCCGCAGCCTCCCTGGGCAGCCTGGGCCAGGGCTCGGGCACCCTCCCACCAAACAAGCTCTTCCTCACGGGCACGTGGAGCTGCCTGCGCTGCAGCTTGGCCCCAGGGCCCCTTGGCCTGCCACTGGCCACCACCCACAAGAGCTTGGCCCTTCCTCCCTCCATCCTCCCCTCGGCTGCTTGCACACACTGACCAGGTCCCCTCTCGGCCTCCTCTTCTCCAGCTCAACAGGCCCCGCTCGCTCGGCCTCTCCTCACACCACAGCTGCTCCAGGCCCTTCCTCAGCCCTGTCGCTCTGCGCTGGCCCCTCTCCAGAAGCTCCACGTCCCTCTTGTCCTGGGGAGCCCAGAGCTGCTCCCAAGGCTCCAGATTTGGCCTCCCCAGAGCTGAGCAGAGGGGCAGGATCCCCTCCCTGCCCTGCTGCCAACGGCCTCCTGATGCAGCCAGGAGCCCATTGGCCTCCTTGGCCACGAGGGCTCTGCTGCCTCATGGGCAACTTGGTGTCAACCAGGACTCCCAGGTCCCTCTTCATGGAGCTGCATGTCATCCCCTAACCCATACTCATGCCTGGGGTTGTTCCTCCCCAAGTACCTCTCTTTAAAACCTCTCCCAGGTTTTGGAACCCACAAAACTCTGAACATTCACTGAAAATCAACATTATGACATTGATAATTATTTGGCAGGTTTAAAAAAAGGCATGTATATTTTTCATGTAGCTCTGGAGTTGTTTGTAGCTGCTGCTCAGTAGCTTCCCAAGTTCTCACTGGGATGCGTCAGTGTTCAAGCATTCAGTTGTCACTTCACGGTTGTTGGATATAAGAAGAATTTTGTGAATTATCTTCCAGAACATATCAAAATTCAGATGGTTGTTTTTGCCATAAATGTCTTGGGACCTGCTTAGCTAACACATCTGTTTTGCTTGAGGTCCTATCGTTGCTCAAGGCAGCCACCTTGAGGTAGAATTGTCTCAAAAAAGAATTAATGGCAGAATGGTAGTATTTTAGAAAGAGATCCTAGATTTTGAAACAGTCTCATTTTTCTAGTGCAGCAAGTAATTCACCCCACAGCATCCATCTTAACGGAGAATCCATGAAGATGCAAAACATCTTTTAACTGATGACATGGAGCATTTTCCAAGCTCAGGCCTCCGCTCTCCAAACCTCAGAAGAGGCAGAATGAATTGAGCTGTCACCCCGTGGCCGGGCGTGTTTTATTGTGCCCATTTCAATCATAGGTCAGACTTGAGCAGGAGACGGCAACGTGAATCACACAACTTCTCATGGAACCCGGCCAAGAAATGAGAACCGTGGTTTGGAGAGTGGCATCAAGCGCGAGCAGCAGAGAGACGTGCAAGTTGGGTGCAAGTTGCTCCTGACTCATGGTGGTTCAGAGCTACCACAGTGTATGGAGAGCTCTTTGCTGGTCAACATGGGAGCCACGCTGCACATATTCATGTGACCTTTTAAAACCTGAGTATTTAGTTAGGCCTCCACATGTATAAATACTGCCTTTTTAATAAAACATTTAATCTTAATTTTGCTTCCCAAAGAACCATTAGGTGAAGAGGGCTTGATGTGCAGCTTGCTTCTCTTCACGTTGATGTGAATGTACGACATGGATGGCAGGATTCAACCATTGAGCAGAAGGGCAAAAGGCCTCATTAGAGATGAATGGGATGGCGCAGACTTTGCAGTCACTCATAAATCTTGCCCTTCGTGCATGGGATTAATGTCTAACAAGGTTTGATTGATGGCTGAGCAACTCCCACTAAAATGTTACGGGACCAAATCATGAAATCCTCTACGTTTACTGTTAAGGAAAAGTCCTTTTTGCCTCGGTAGGCAGAAGAATGCCTGGTTAGTCTTTTCTTGTAAGTGGATTTTGAAGTTCTAGGTTGCTGTGGCTTTTAATAAGTATGTGGCCAGGCCACAGCTTCCACTGCTGAATTAGGATGCTTATTAAAATCCAGTGGAAGGACTGAGAGCAGAGCAGACGGGCATCTTGACCAAATAGCTTGGAGTCCGTGACACTGGCTGCCAGAAACGGAGTCTCAGGAGCTAAAGAGACACTAAAACTTCAAGGTATTTTTTCAAGCAAGTAGCTAGTGAGATTTTAAGCCTGTCTCACATTTTAATAGTGTCCCTTAAGAAGCTTAAGGGTTTTGCTGTGGTTGGAGGGCAAGTGGGCTGTACATCGAGGACCTCTCCCTTAACTTCTCCCTCTTGGTCATACATCATCATGGGTCACTTCTGCTCAGGTAGGTAATGACCTTGTTCTGAAGAAGTGCTGTAGGACAGCAGATCTGAGCAAGATCTGAGCTGGTGCAGTTTCCACTATCTTTGATTTTACGGTTGTTAATTCGAGTAAGTGAGACAAAATGCCAATATGGGAACACGAACATAATTGGTAAATTACTGTTAAGAATCAGCACGGTGGTTGTTTTGGCCCTTGCCAATAAGGGCACATTTAAGAAGCTTGGGCTCAGGTAAAGTTTTAACTGAGGGCTTCTTAGGAGTTGAAATCACATTGTTTTCTGTTCGTATTCTTTCCAAGTCATCCTGAATTGTTTCTGATTAGGGGCGTTAGGTCATTTACTGGGATATTTATTCCCATGTACTTTGTTTGTGGCACAGCCTTGATGAATTCTAACTCGTTGTTAGAGTTGAATACAGTAATAATACCCTCCACATGGGTAAGATTTTATGAGAATAAACGTTGAATTTCTAAATGCATTAATAAAAGTCATTTTTAAGGGGTTTCTTTCTAATTTCATTGTCTCTCAAGATAAAAATGAATGACTTGGAGTCTGTTTCTGCACTGCAGAGTTGTTTAAAAGGCATCAGTTATGCCACCTCAGCTTAGAAAGCTTGGTAACCTTTGGATTTTTAAGACTTGCAGTATGTAATCTATAGGCTATAAAGGGTGGCCAGCTACCCGCTATCTTGCTGCTGCTGTTGAGGGCAGGAGCAGCTTTGGGAGCAGTGAGGAGTCTTTGCAAGATGCTCTCGGGGCCAGCAGCGTTTTGGGGTAGCCTGAATCTGTCTATTAACATAAGAAGTGTTTTTACCCCGTTGGTGACATACAGACAACTAGGATCTCATTTCTGAAAGTGAAGCTTGGGCTTCGATGCTGATTACAAACCTGGAAGATCTTTTATTACTTTACCAGCCTTCAGCCCTCTGGAGTACACGAAGATCTTGGTGTTTGCGCTGCGTGACGACACTTTTATTTCAAGCTTTGCCTTCCTCTCCTTCTGTTTGCAGATGCTGCTGACAGAATACCTGGATATGAAGAACACGCGCGCGGCCTCGGAGCCGTCCGCCCAGCTCAGCTACGCCAGCTCCGGGAGGGAATTTGCAGCCTTCTTTGCAAAGAAGAAACCACAGAGGCCTAAGAACTCCCTGTTCAAGTAAGTGCTGACATGGTGCTAAAACCAAGCTTAGGTCGGCTCTGGAACCTGGAGCACTGGACAACACTGGCTGCTAACAGCAGTTTTGCAGTGTGGGCATGGGACAGACTTTCAGAGGAAGACGTAATGCCCAAAGCTGAAGCCGCAGGAAGATCCCTATTAAGGATTTATCCATGTTCTGTAGCATGTAGCTCTCTCCATGCCTCTTTTCAGGGTTGGGATCCCCTTATAGCAGCTCCTATAATGTATGCTGTGATACTTTATGCCTGTCTTTGTCCGAGTTAAAATCAAGTCCTAGTAAAGAGGATGATAAAGAGGGCTGGACAAAGAGAATTAAGATAACTGTATAATCGCCAGATAGACTAAGCTGCTAATCCTATCAGCAGTGCCTTTAATTTGGAGTGCTAACGGAGTTCAAAGTGGAAGGAATTAAGTGGTTGGGAGGGGGATGCAAGGGAAAGGATGAGGCCAGGTGGGCAAGGCAGAGGTTTGGGGAGCTAATCCAACGTGCAAGATGAGGAGCATCATTGAGTGCTGTCAAAACCTCTTGTGCTTCCCTCTCTCGATGGATTAACTCCCTGTTATCACCCTCTGTTATTAGAAGGTTAAATGTGATAGAGAGGATTCCCGAGGTATCTCCTGGCTCCCCTGGTTATTCCCCCCACCCCTTTATTATCCCTCCCATGGCTTGGGAATTGCGCTCCATGAATTTGCTCCGACATGTCTGCAGCAAAGCAGGGCTGCTCACCTTTTGTCACTGGGTCTGTTTTTCCCATGTATTTGGGCTGTTTCCAACAGAGGCCCAGGGATGTTCTCTTTCACCCCCTGCAATTTCAGCCTGTATATTAGTTTGTGAGCAGACAGCCAAGACAGGTATAATTGTTTAAAGCGAAGGTGCCTCACCTCGTAGGGAAAACCGTGTCCCTTAACCACTGCTGGCCTCGTCACCGACTCGTTGCCGCCACCTCCGTGACAGCAGCACTTATTGGGATCCCTCGGTTATCTGTCTTCTGTCAGCTGTCACCATATCGTGGCAAATCTCTGTTGAAATGGAATTTTCCCGTCCACCGAGGGATGTACGTGTTTGATGGAGCGTTATTCCTGTCTCCTCTCCCATCTCCCCTGTTTTTCTCGCCTGGTTTTCCTTTCCTTTCCGTTAGCGCCTCCCGGATCAGAGGCACCATCCACTTATCATCAGCCGCTCTGCATTTCGGCCCCTCGCTGCCGAGGTCTCTTAGGGCAGGGCTGCACCTGCTGTTTTGCTCCTGGATTCATGGAAGGTGCTTGTCCTGGGGCAACCTGTTTGAAGCTAATTCTATAGATACCAAGCACTGCTGCTGGTTTGGGGCTTGCACGGAGGAGTGTGAGCAGCGGGAAGAGTCAGGACCCTTAATCGTGTCCGTCTGTCCAGAGATCAGTAGTGAAAGACTTTGGAAGAGACTGGATTTTGGAAGAGATGTTGAAATGTCATTTCTCTGTCTTTAAAATGAGTATAATTCTCAAAAAAGAAAAGAGACCTGATGCACTGAGTTGGTTCATGCCGTGTGTGCTTAGGTTGCGTTTGCAAGGTGGAAGTCAGGCTTGAGTGGAAAAGGAGTGGATTGTATGAGCAGATGCTGAACACTCAGCTCATTAGTCTCCTTCTTGGCATTAATTATTGTAGTTACACGTTAAAAATAGGTCTTCTTGTCAGGGGATCAGCACAAGGAAAGGAAGGGATTACATGAGTAGAGGAATTAATGGAAATAGGAACTTGCTGCAAGAGCAAAGGAGGGGAAGATGGAGGAGTGAAGTGGATGGTTGGCGGAATGAGATGAACGGGAGGAGATCCAGCGAAAAACGTCCCTACAGTGAATCCAAGGAATAGTTGGAATCACTCTACTAAAATAACATTGATGGCTGTGGGAGGAGCCCTAGGGTTATTGTTGAGCTTTGCCTTGACCTCACATTTCTGTTTTGGATCTCTGGGAAGAGATGGAGAAGATCCCTGGAGATCTTCGGGCCATGGTGATAACGTTGCATTTAACATCTTGCTGTGGACTAAAGGCAGCGCCTCATAAACACAGAGCCATGAATTTATTGTTAGATTAATTAAAGTGTTAGCTGTGTGTTGCGTTTTGATAGATTGTTATTAGTCCAGTTGCAATAACACTAATGCACATAGTCCAGCTTAATACAGAAAAGCCTCATTAATAATAGTACCCTTAAAAAAAAAAAAGAAATCTTGCTAATGCCTCTATCCTTTTCTTTGTTTTGATGCTCAGTGTCCCTCTGAGTGGGTGCCAAAGCTGAAAGGAGTCAGTCCTCAGCAGAAGGGTGGGGGGAAAGGGTGTCTAGCAAAGCATCAGCACCCTGAGGTCCTCACTATGGGTGTCATGTCCATGATGGGTTTTCCCCAGTCATGGCTCCAACCAGCTCTGGCCACAGCTGTCCCAGAGCAACCAGAGACCCTGGTAGAACTGAAAACCTGGGACCTTTTTCTAGCGATGCCCAAAATCATATTTACTACGTTAACGTAGATGGAAAATATTTGTCTTGTGTTACTGCTCGTGGAGGACTGGAGCCACAGAATAAGCAATCAATGTTTTATCGCTCTTTAGTCTCCAGGAAGACATCAATTTTTCATCGGTGGCTGCGTTGATATGCCAGCTAACCATTGAGAAAACCTTAGTTTATGGCTTTTGAGTGGGATTTTAGCAGGTTTGGGCCACTGATGCTCAAGAGCCTGTGTGGAGGGCTGCCCTGGTCCCAGGTGACAGAAAGGGCACATCAATGATGGAGCTGTACAGGAAATATGAGCCACAATCTGAAATGCCTCCAGTATGCAGGGAAGTTCTGCTCATTTAGAGGTAGCTGGGGCTCCTAAGAAAGACACTCATACAGCTAATTGACTGAAAATGTGTTTTTTCCTTTACAGGTTTGAGTCCTCCTCCCATGCTATTAGCATGAGCGCCTATTTGCGGGAGCAGAGAAGGGAGCTGTACAGCAGAAGCGGAGAGCTGCAAGGTGGGGGAACTGACAGTGGGTTAGTTGGGCACAAGCTGCGTATGCTGTCCATGCTGTGCTGAAGTGTAAAGACCCTTCTAAATTGCTGCACAGACTGCCTAAATATCAACAGATTATATAGCCTGTGTTCATTTATTCCTGTTATATGGTGGAGAAGCTTGACTTCTTTCTATTCCCTCTGAACTTCCAGATAAAGATCCAGATCTTAAAAGATACTCGCAAGGGTTAAATGAAAGCGAGCTCACCTTCAGCATGGCTTTTGGGTGCTTATAACTGACACTTGTCTATCTGTTTGCAATTTCTTTTTACGTGTGGATGTCACATGTGGTACTTTTGCTGGATTGTCTTGCCATCTCAGCTCAATCATCTCATTTGAAGATCTGAGTGTCTGTTCCATGGATTGAATGATGAAATTTTTGTGCAGAACTGAAATAGGAAGGGATATATTGTTTGAAAATGGTGAATTTGAAAAGTTGGTGACTCTTGCTGGTTTATAGTGGTTGTTTCATGGTAACGTTTAGCAAGAATAATTCTTTCCTATGTAATGCTTTTGTTTCCATATAATCCTTTGGGGTCAGTCAAACAGTCAAACAAGGAAAAAGATAAGGATTCTTCAAATACTGGAGGGATGGGCAAGGGCAGAACTTCTCTTCGAAATCTTTCTCATAATAAGTTTGTGCTAGCTTTTAATTGAGGATCTTTTACATTTTCCACAGTCGTTTTCTCATACCAATAGGCTGTAGGACTTGAGTAGTCACTTCCCCACAACCAGTAGCTCTGTTCCACAAACCACACAGGGTGACTGGATCCCAAGCCAAGAACTGAGAAGCTCTTGAGGACATTTAGAAGTTCAGCCTAGCAAAGGGGCCGTTGGGGAGCCTGCTAGACCTGCCTTAGCAAGGGATTACTCCAGTTGGCTTCTGTTGCTTGCAGCTGCCTCCACAGCAGGATTTGCCCAGTTGCCTTTGTAGCTTTAGAAGGTGCATGGTAGAGAACAGTGCTACTCACTGCACTCATTTCTGGGGAAAGTGATGCCATTTCCCTTATTGTTGCACTGAATTGAGGGTATATTTTAAAATAACTCTCCCTTTTCTGGATCCAGACCTTGTTCCCAGTGGGCACACCTGGATATCCCTCCAGACTGGCTCCTTACTGAGCCAAGTTTGGCCTCACAGATGGGAGGCCGGTGCCAAAGCCAGGACTAGGAGGCACAAAGGAGTGAAGGACGAGACGAGGAGTTAGGGAGCACAGGGACAAGATAATATCACCCTTTAGGGATGAATGGGAAGAGCTCAAACGTGATGCAATAAGTAACAAAAAAAAAAAAATCCATGTAGGGAGTCCATGGGGACAATAGATGAGATGACTTTGCAAAGAAATCTTTGCCGTTTCGCTATCAAGAATATTTTCCCTTTGAACTTTATGTTAAAAATGGGCTGCAGTCTCTTCCTGTTAGGAGCGGCTGCTCCCTTTTAGGTAGCTCATTAATCTTCCTGAATCCCAGGCCACAGCAAGATCTGCATTTTGAGCTTTTTTTTTTCTTTTTTTAACCCCTATTGAAGGAAAATGCAGTTTAATTGTTCCATGAGGCGCCCGGAAGGCAGCTCGAGACCCGCGCGCTCGTCCGCTTGTGCTTCCCGACAGCCCAGTCCACAGGGATGATTCTTCAGTGGCAGCAGAGGGAGGCTGCCTTGTTAGGGAATCTTTTCCTGAAAAGATCTTCAAAGAAACATATGTGTTTTTTAAAAGAAAAAGCCTGAAAGTTTGGCTCATGCCAGCTTCTTGAAAGCAGAATTTAATTTGAATAACTTTAAAACATCTGGAGATCAAGCGATGCTTTGTCATTAACCTCCTCCTTTTGGACTGAAATAATGTGGTGCATAAGGCACCCGTTACCCTCCACGGGGAAAAGAGCCCTGTTGCAGATCATTTAGAGGGGGAAGGATTAATTCTTGGGACTTTTCTACTGAAATTGGTGGAGGATGACTGATAGCTTGTGGTTTTTCCGCTCCAAGCTGGACGCACAAGTTGTGTCTCCTTTTGGGCTAACGTCGGTGCGATGCCCGGGTTGTGATCGGCAGGACAGTGTCGGAGGCGGCTTCTTCTGTGCAAAACAAAGCAATTGCTGTTGAACTTCTCTTTTTTTTTTTTCTTTTTCCAAGAGGACACATCTTGGTGATATTCTACCTGGGACATGTACATTTTCCTTCTTAAGAGCCCTCCTGCCATTTGTTCTGATATGGTTTTCTTAATACCTCTTAATTAATGCAGTTTGATATTGCCTTAAACAATAGGGTAATATTTTTGAAGCGAGTTCTCCGCATCAACAGTGCAATGACTGAAACCTGGTTGACTCTTAACGCTGCTCCTGTATTAGCCATGAAACAGTACTTGGAAATGGGAAGCTTTCATAGAATCATAGAATCCTTGAGTTTGGAAGGGACCCCTAGAGGTCCCCTAGTCCAACCCCCGCACACGAAGGGTCACCTAGAGCACAGGGCATAGGCTGCGTCCAAGCGGATTTTGAAGATCTCCAGAGAAGGAGACTCCACAACCTCTCTGGGCAGCCTGTTCCAGGGCTCTGTCACTCTCACTGGTAAGAAATTTTTCCTTAAGTTCCTGTGGAACTTTCGGTGCTTCAGTTTGTTTCCTCTAGTTCCGTCCGTGGCCACCACTGAAAAGAGGCCGGCCCCCTCCTCCTCACTGCCTCCCTTGAGGTATTTATACACGCTGATCAGGTTCCCCCTCAGCCTCCTCTTCTCCAGGCTGAACAGACCCAGCTCTCTCAGCCTTTGCTCCTAGGGCAGATGTTCCAGGCCTCTGATCATCCTCGTAGCCCTGCGCTGGACTCTCTCCAGCAGCTCCACATCCCTCTTGTCCTGGGGAGCCCAGAGCTGGACACAGTCTCCAGATGCGGTCTTTGTGGGTGACAGCTTGTGTTGCAGAAGGAGCCAAACCCAAGCTCATCTGATCTTTCCATGTGGTCCTTCCTTTTCCTTCCATCAGAGGTGCCACCAGGCGAGGCCTCCTTCATCTGGTGGTGTTTAAGAGGCCCACGGCCATAGGGAATTCACATCCCAGCAGGAACCATAGCCTCAGCCTGGCTTATCAGCAGCAAAGGTAAAAGATGCTTTTTATACACCGTGAAAGTGCTGAGAGCCCTGGGGGTGCCGCTCAGCATGGAAAATAGCATCCGGCACCTGCCTTATCTGCACGAGCGCAGGATCTTGGAGCTCACATCGGGGTCAGCACTGCTCGCGCTGCACAGGGCTAAGAGTGAGATCCTAGAATCCCAGGATGGTTGAGGTTGGCAGGGACCCCCAGGGCTCCCCCAGGGCAGCCCCTGCTCCAGCAGGGACACCCAGAGCACGGGGCACCCGGGCGCATCCCGGCGCGCTGGCAGATCTGCAGAGCAGGAGCCTCCGCAGCCTCCCTGGGCAGCCTGGGCCAGGACTCGGGCACCCTCCCACCAAACAAGCTCTTCCTCACGGCCACATGGAGCTGCCTGCGCTGCAGCTTGGCCCCAGGGCCCCTTGGCCTGCCACTGGCCGCATGGTCTCTGTGGGCTACAGCGCGATGCCCTGTGAGAAATCACCACTTGTGGAGACTCCCATAGTGTTTCCAAGGCCTGGAAACCTTCTCTTATCTTTCTCGTGCCTTCAGTGTTTGAGAAACTGTGCCCTCCACATTTCTTTCTTTTATTATTTATCCAGTTTTCATCCAGAACGTGCTCCTGGAGGCGTATGCTTCTTGCTGTTTAAATTCCTGAAAATTGGGAGTAAATTCCCTTTTCTTCAGTTTCCTTAAGTCTGAGTTTCTCAGAGGTGCTTTTAAATTTTGAAGACACTTCTAAAGTTTAACTTCCCCCTTGATGTATTTAGTTGAGTATTTATATAAACTTACATCTATTATATAAAGTCAAATATGTTTAAAATGGCTAGCAGCTCAGCTATGTTGGTTTTCTGTAAGATTTTTTTTTTGCCAGCTATGACATGTAGCAACACTTCTATTATCTCTGCGTCTCTTAACATTGACCACATCCATCTCTGAGTTGCAGAGGATCTTGGTGGAGGTTTGGCCCTTGCCTGAGTGGTTCAGGGGAAAGTTTGGGCTTTGGGTTTCATGTCCATGAGCTGTTTGACTATCCTTGGTCCAAGGCTGGAAATTCCTCACTCGTAAGGCTTAAAGTAATTACTTCAATCCAAGAGGAGCTCTGTTAATTGAGAATTTGCCGATGCTGAGGCACAATGTGGTGGCAGATGGTCCCCGAGCTGACAAGGTATAAGGGCAGATCCAGGGAAAACGCGGTTTTTTGTCGGTGCCTTGTTCCATTTGGATTCACCAAAGGGCTCTCGGAGGGATCCAGCTGGGCTGGCGCGTGACGGAAACCAACCTTGATGCTTTGGATAGTCACAGCTCAGTTCAGCACCTCCTGGAAATGCGGCCCGTAACGCGCTGTCATCCAAGGCGCCGCGCAGCAGCAGCCGCGGGGCAATTCCCGCCTTATTGAAGGAGACAACCATGACCCGGAGACGGATCCGCTTCCAAACCCCTTTGGGAAGAAGCCCTTGAAGTCACCGGGAGTCACTTACGCGAAGGAGGGGACAGCATTTGATGCCTGGAGCCGTGTGCTGCCCAGCTACTCTTCCTCCCCGCCGTGCAAAGGATCGCGGCGGCATCGGGGGCAAGTGGGGAGACTTGGGCTCCCCTTTTTTATGCCAGTATTAACGGGATCACCTAGTTCAGCCCCTGTGAGCTCACTTATTATTTCCCCCGCGTGTGTTTTTTCTGCTTTAGTGGATTAGCTGCACTGTCTCTTCAAAGGCTATCCAATCAAGAAGGGGTTATTAAAACTGGGGTGCTTTATGACTGAGAATTAATTAGAGCCGCATTTTCATGCAAAACATCCAATTTTTTGATTAGCAATGGAGCAGGGCCGCAATTAACACTCTAGGAAGCTTAAATTTCCAGCGTTTTGATTCTCAGGAAATGAGATTATC